AGAGAGAGTAGTGTAGAGAGACGCTGTGTCACACATGTAGTTCAGAATGGGCAAAAAGAAACACTGTTCGGCAGGTCCCTGTCCTTCCCAGTTCATAGAGGCAACAAAAACATTTGGCGGCGCTCCCTACACATGGCAAGTTAGAAATGGGCAGTTTTCTCATTTTCAGGACCGGGGCCGAAATGGACAAAGGGTCTGAGGACAGAGAAGCACCTACCAGGGGCCAAGTCCCACAAGCAGGCAATGCCTGTATCTGGACGTGTTTGTGGAGATGTGGGGTTGAGGAAACTCAATGTGATTTCTGCAAATCTGCATCCACACATCCACATCCGAGCGTCGAGAAACACAACAGACGGAACGAAAAACAAGCATCTGGTTGACGGGGGATCCAGCGTAGCACTCCGTTGAAGCACTGCGCTACCGATGGTATCGCCGTTCGGAGACGACCACGCTCTGCGTTTGCAGCGAGGCGCGGGATTCGGTGTGTGGGGGCGAAGCTATGGAGAACTCGGTACTCTCTAGGTTCGGCCATCACCCTCAGCCTGGGCTGCGTGTCTCTGTGGAATATCAGGGAGCAGGGTGTTTCCGGTCCCTCCTACGACCTTCAACCTCCAGAATTCAAGTGATATCTACTGCTGTATTATGCCCATTTATGGGTTAAATACATTGCAAACTGCACGAAGAAGGGAGAGAGGCTCTAGTGCTTCGCGAACGGTGAGTCAGACAGCGGCACTTCCAGGAGCAGTGGGAGGGCAACTGGCAGCGGTGGGACTGTTGCTCTGAGGAGCATGTACGGAGTACTAGTGACTATCTCAACCGGGAGCGTGAAGACATGACCTGGAGCTCTACAGGCGCGGCGCCACCTTTGGGAGTGGGAGATCCTCTGACGGCGGTGGGACCGTGTCCAGTAGTGTGAGGGGAACGGGCTGTATGGTCGACTGGGTGAAACCGCATTGACACTCATACTTTAGTTACATCGACTACTCTTATCTTGGCCTTTTATTTACCTCAAATTCGAAATTCCATTCCATTTTCTTATCCATGCCTTTCAAGTTGCTCTGTCCTTGGTCTTATTCTTGGGTGTTTTCAGTCGTTTCCTGGTCTGCCTTCATAAGTTTTCAGTTGTCAGTGAAATTTCGTATGGCATAGTATTAGTACTTGGTTTGTAAGCAATAACAGCCTGTTTTTCATGTTTTAGGGTTTCCTCCCTCCTCTCAGTGGCAATTATAACGTCGGGAATATCGGTGCCTTTGGTGTGGGAGGGTGGGAGCTTATTCTGTAGCTCGGCTTCTCTGCAGGTGGCCGAGATGGTAAGCCATATCCAAGCCTGTTCTTATTTCGTTTTTTTTTCAGCATGACTCTCCTACGAGCTCGAAGTT